CCAAACACTGTCACATGGGGGAGGGAGATATCATTATTCCTTTGTGCCGTACAAAACCATATGACATAAAGCTGACATAGGGCTTGGCTCTTGGTTCCAACAGTAGATTAGAGTGAGCAAAGTGATAGAGTCTCTTTAAAGGGTTAGGTCACCTTTCTGCAAATGTATTAAAAAAACTCTTCATGCTTTACATCACTTCCATCACATTGCACAGCATTGTTCAGATGTTAAAAAAAACTGCCACTTTCCCATTGCATACCTGTAGGTTCTACATAGCATGTTTACAAAAACATCTAGGTAGCCTATCCCACTCTGTCCTGGTTAAACAAGCTCAGCTGCTGCTTCTAGAGCATGAGAGAGCGCAATGCACATGGACATAGTTTGAACTGGATGGGAATGGCTGCTGGGGGGCACACTTCTAATGTCCAGTCCATCCTGCCATTTAGACAAGATGTATGGGGATTGACCACCTAGTGGACCTACAAGTATGCAATGGGAAAGGGGCAGCTTTTTAAACATCTTAACAGTGCTTTGCAATGTACTGGGGGTAAGATTTTAGATGGTAAGTTCTCATGGGCAGGGCCCTCTTAACCATCTTGTTCTGAATTGTATTGCAAGTGTAATGGCTTCCTTATATTGTAAAGGGATGTGCAAACTGCTGGCGCTATATAAATCCTGTAAATAGTAATGATAATGGAAAGCATGTGGGATTTTTTGGAAAATGTGCAGAAAAGTGACCTAACTCTTTGACAAATTTCTAAGAGTAGAGTCCTATCTGTGGCATTGATCACACATTCTTATAAAAAAAAAGATTAAATCGATAGACAAGAAACCTTTAAGACCGTAATTTAAGCTTTTCTGCTTCAAGCTTATAGTGTGATGGTGATTTTATTTCTATACTACGGCTCCACTGTGGGAAAAACTGCTAATTTCATATGGCTGCAAAGTACGGCATCATGCCAGGAATGTGCTATGAACCTGCTGTGCCTTACATGTAGATACATGAAGCTCTCAATTAACATTACAAACCATTAAAGAATTAACAGATTTGAAAAATAGTGGAAGGTCTGTAGCTGATATAATTATAGATAACTAAGTCCCGTTTTATGTGAATAAAATACAATGATTCTTCGGTCCAGGCAGTACTTCTGACAGGTCTACCACAAACAATAAACATGTTTTTACAGAGTAATACCACATCCTGATAAAGGCCTAATTGTGTTTTTTTCTGAAATGGACTGCTGCACTCATTTCCAAGCAATACTCAGGTTTCTGTAGGATTAAAATTAATTTTAGCACATTATCTGTAATGTGATCCTTTCCAAAATATAAACCTGACAATAGAAAAAAATCAGTATCATCATAGTGCAAAATATTTCACAAATTATAGGCATGTATTTTACCCATGGAAACATGCTGAAGGTTGCATGCATTTCTTTAACTACACAGTGAATTATGTATGTAAAGGTTCTCATTCAGCCAGGTCATGGTATATCTTTAAAAAATAAGTCAAGGCAACTGGACTTGCTGTATTTTTCTTGAAGACGTTTCACTGGTCGTCCAACCAGCTTTCTCAATTTAGAATGACTTGTACAAAAATTATCTGGGAATAAATATGATGAATGTTGTTCTAATCCACATAATCTGTTAGTCACAACCAGGTGTTGATTTCATTTGCATAATTGGAGTAAGGAGATGTTAATAACCTGCCTAGAGAGAGGTGTTAAAACAGCATTGTATGCGGCAACACATGGTTGTGACTAACAGATTATGTGGATTGGCACAACAATGACTATATTTATTCCCAGATAATTTTTGTACAAGTCATTCTGAATTGAGAAAGCTGTTTAGAAGACCAGTGAAACATCTTCAAGAAAAAATACAGCAAGTCCAGTTGCCTTGACTTATTTTTTTACAGATATACACAGTGAATTAGGCTGAAATAAGTCTATCAAGTTTAACCTGACTTGACAGAGGAATGTGATGTACAGAAAATTGTCAGCTTGCCCTTACTTTGCAAATCTTGTCATTTGACTACATTGCATTTGGCTTATACATACAGCATGTAACTTTTTACACAATGCAGGAAAAGCAACAGTATTTAAAACCTGGTAACTCTAAAGCTGGGCATGCACTAGTAGATTTCTGAACGAATGTTTATACGAAAGACCTTCACACCATCACACACACAAATGATGATCGAATTTTTGTTTGATTTCACTGTTCGATTTTGCAATAAATGGAGTTTCCCGAACGAAAACCAAATCCACTGTTCACGAGTTTCGCTCGTTCGAGAAAAAATTCCCATTTTTTCATCACTACAGTCCAAAGCAATAGTCAATGTGACCCCATCAACTAATAGAAAGTCGTACGAAAGTTCTTTCTTAAATCTAAGCAATGTATGGCTAGCTTTAGCAACCAGATTTCAGTATAATTAAGTCAGATCATTGACAGATGACTTTAGTATCTGTATGGTCACCATGGCATTCATATTGGTACTATACTTTGCTAAATACATTCAAAACATAGAAGACATATGCCAGTATCAGATTATGATTAGGATAAAAAAAAAGCATCAATGCCGGAAGGCATCAAAAAGCATCAATGCCGGAAAGCGTTGTACCCTTTCTATTCTGCAACCTAAAAACTAGTGTGAAATCACAAATTAAATAAAACTCTATACAAATTACTTCTACCTCTGGGGTAGGACCTCACATTCCTCACCAAAACAGGGGACAGAACAATAAAACACAGCAGCACTGGCAAACACACTTTATCTGTTATAAGAGCATATGGCAGCAAAGATAAATGGACATTGCACTATTCCAGTCGTTTCTACAGGCAGCAGATCATAAATGGAACTCAATAGCTAGCAACTGGAGGAAACCTAATTTGTTTATTCGTATGGTACTTGCAAAGCATATCAATTATATGACGCAACTCTTATAACTAGCTGGGGCTGCTTCAGTTCTTAAAGTATTAATCTTTAATGCACATCTGTTATACATTATCATACATCTGTAATATCTGTATTGATGTATACTTGTCCCCTAGGCCAACTGAGATAAACATCCTTGCCCCCCCCCCCCCCCCCCCCCCCCCTTTCTTTTTTTTTTTTGTACTTT